ACGGATACCCCCTCCCGTGCCCCCACTGCTGGCCCTTCTGTGGCCCCTACAGCGTCTTTGGATCCAGCGGAGAATGTTTGCAACGTGGACATCTTCGACGCCATCGCAGAGATGGGGGGTTACCTGCATTTGTTCAAGGACGGGTGAGGTGTAGGGATGCGCAGTGAGGGAGCGGGTTTGGAGAAGGAACCTCCCCCCGACCCCCGTCCCCGCCCCCGCCCACTGGACTTTGGTTCAAGGTTCATTGCCCTGCCGGTCCCTTTTCATGTTCCCAGGAGGTACTGGCGATTCTCTGAGGCCCAGGGGCGCCGGGTGCAGGGCCCCTTCCGTATCAGGGACACGTGGCCTGCGCTACCTCCCAAGCTGGATTCCGCCTTTGAGGAGCCGCTAACCAAGAAGATGTTCTTCTTCGCTGGTTAGTTTCCTCCTCTCTCCTTCCCTCCTCGCCATCCTCGCAATCTAGGAGGACAGAGAGAGCCGGGGTTACCCGTAGCAGGGCATGTGCGGATTTAAGGAGACGCGCCCCCTCCTGGCGGGTGCGGTTTAGCAGGGGCTGAGTTCCAGCTCCCGGCTTCACGGAACCCTGCACGATCGTACCGAGCGGCTCTGCTTGCGGGCAGAGAGACTGCGGGCGCGCCAGGCTCCGAAAGAGCTCGCTGGGTTTTCCCTTCTGACACTTAAGGAGAATGTGTGCCTCCTCCCTGCCCCCAGGCTGATGTGACCTTCTCTCCTGCAGGGCGCCAAGTGTGGGTCTACACGGGCGCGTCGGTGCTAGGTCCGAGGCGTCTGGACAAGCTGGGCTTCGGCCCGGAGGTGGCCGAAGTCACCGGGGCCCTCCCACGCGGCGCGGGGAAGGTGCTGCTGTTCAGCAGACAGAACTTCTGGAGGTGAGCGCCGCGAGGGCCGCCGGCAGGGGGAGCCCGGGCGCCACCCGCCTGGCCGTCCGCTCAGCACCTGTCTCCTCTCCGCCTTCCTGCAGGTTTGACGCCAAGTCGCAGATGGTAGATCCCAAGAGTGCCAGCCCTGTGGACCAGATGTTCCCCGGGGTGCCCTTGAACATGCACGACGTCTTCCAGTACCGAGGTGATGGCTGCCCGCGAGGGCCGCCGGCAGGGGGAGCCCGGGCGCCACCCGCCTGGCCGTCCGCTCAGCACCTGTCTCCTCTCCGCCTTCCTGCAGGTTTGACGCCAAGTCGCAGATGGTAGATCCCAAGAGTGCCAGCCCTGTGGACCAGATGTTCCCCGGGGTGCCCTTGAACATGCACGACGTCTTCCAGTACCGAGGTGATGGCTGCAGGCGGGGCTGGGGGCGGGGGGGGGGTCCCTCTCTGAGACACCTCTTCCCATGCTAGAGCCTGGTGAGCTTCTGAGCGAGAAAGGACAAGGCCCTGGCGATTGAGGCAAATGTCCCCACGGCAGTTAGAGAGGCAGGGACCTTCCCCAGATCATACAGGGGCGCAACCAGGACTGGGATCCTGGTTTCCTGCCTTCCCAGCTGCAAGCTCTTTGCCCAACAGTGCAGGACACATGGTTTGCATGAAGGCGCATGCATTATTAATACAGTATTTGTCAAAGTTCCTAGAATGTGACAGATCCCGTGCTGCCACCAGGAATATAGTGATACACAAGGCGATTCATAGCTGTGTGTCTTTGGGCAAGTCACTGCTACCGTCAGAGCCTCGGTTTCCCCGTCTGGAAAACTGGGAGGCTAGCTGGAATTATACTTGCTTTCTCTTTTTCACCTCTCACATCCAATCAGTTGACAAGTGCTGTTGGTTTTATTGCTGAAATATTTACGTTCACTATCTCCTTTGCAAACACCCCACTCCAAGCCATCCTGGTTGTCCAAAACGGTTATTCTCTGGGAGTAGGGAGTGGTTAGGAATGGAGACAATAGTTTGGGAGTGACTCCTCGTCCAAGGTCAAAGGAGCTAACATGATCAGACCCCTCACTCCTCACCCCTCCCACTACTTCTGTCATTCCCTCTGCTCACTCCACCCACACTGGCCGTCTGGCTGCTCTTTGAACACATCAAGGTCGGTCCTCGCTTGGGGCTTTTGTGCCAGTTGTTCCCTCTGCCTGGAAGGTTTTTTCCCAGATTGTCACTGTGCTGCCTCCCTCTTACCCTTCAGGTCTCAGCGCTAGAGCCACCTTTTCAAAGAGGCCTCTCTGACCCTCATTACCTATTCACTTACTTGCTTTTGTTTCCTTTCCACTTTCAAAACCAATCTCATTTATTTACACCGTTGCTTGTTACTCATCTGTCTTACCCCACTAGAGCAGCGATTTTCAACCTTTTTCATCTCATGGCACACATAAACTAATTACTGAAATTCTGCAGCACACCAAAAAAAATATATTTTTGCTAATTTGACAAAAAACAATAGGTATAATTTTGATTCATTCACACCGGACAGCTATTGTTGTGATAGCTGTTGTCATTTTTTAATATGCCAGTCTAAGGGAAAAGAGGTCAGTGCCCCCGGCTAAATAGTCAGGAATTGCCTGTTTTAAAAAATCTTGTGGCACAGTGGGTGAAAATCACTGCACTAGAGTGTAAGCACCCAAAGAACTGAGATCATGCCTGCAGCTTTTCTCTGCTCTATCCTCAGTGCTTCTTTAAAATTTTTTTAAAAAAAATTGATTTCAGAAAGGGAAGGAGAGAGAGGGAGAGAGATATAGAACATCAATGATTAGAGAGAATCATCGATCCTCTGCCACTTGCACGCCCCACACTGGGGATCAAGCCCACAACCCAGGCATGTGCCCTGACAGAGAATCGAGCCATGATCTCCCGGTTCATCGGTCAATGCTCAACTGCTGAGCCATGCTGGTGGGGCTCCTCAGTGCTTCTAACAGTACTTGGCATGATAAATATTTGTTGAATGAATAAATGAATGGAAGGATTTGTTGAATGAATGAATGTTGAATGAGTGGTCCTGAGCACCTACTGTGTGCTACGCTCTGTGCCAGTGCTTTGGACATCAGGGTCTGTGCCCTCCAGTATCTCTGTGGGGGAGATGAAGGTGTGATATGAACACCTTGGAAAGATCTAGAGAGGACAGGAGGGATGATTGTTAAGATCTTGCTTTTGTTTCTGTTATGTATATGTGGGAGGTTTGGAATCACCCCTCTTGTACCTGCCTCTCCTCTGCAGATGAAGCTTACTTCTGCCAGGACCGCTTCTACTGGCGTGTGAATTCCCAGAATGAGGTGAACCAGGTGGATGAAGTGGGCTATGTGACCTATGATCTCCTGCAGTGCCCTGAGACCTAGGGCGCCCCCTCCTGCTTCAGCACTGCAGTGTGGGTCCCCACCTTGATGGAGAAAGAGCCAGTTTGCTGGATACAAACCGGTGGGTCTGTTCTGAAGGACAAAGGATGAGTGGAGGTGGGCTGGGCCCTCTTGTCCCACCTTCCTTTTTTTGTTGGAATGTGTTTAATAAACTTGGATTCTCTAACCTTGAGGTTTATTTTTGTATGTATGTGTGCATGCAAGAACATATGCATGTATGTATGTAACCAAGGGAGTGGTTACTATGTGCCAGACAATGTTCTAAGCACTTCATAAATATTAACATATTCAATTCTTCCTATTAGGAAAGTATAATGTGATTATTCCTGTTTTACAGCGAGGACATGGCCAATTGTTCATAAAACATTTATTGAGTGAGGCCTTACATGAGCCAGGCCCTGTGCTGGGCACTGGGGATAGAAAGATGAAACGGGCTATATTTCTGTCCTCAAGGGCCCCTCAGGATCCTCAAACTTTGGGGTGCACACGGGTACCATTAGAACTTGCTTAACACGCAGACACCAGGGTCTGCCCCCAAAGAGTCTAAGTTAGTTATAAGAGTGATTCTGTGGCCGGTAGGGATGGGATCACACTTGGAGAGTGTGCAGTGTGTGACCCGTTATCCTAAAGATTGTGTGTGTGTGTGTGTGTGTGTGTGATTGTGCGCGTTATGCTTAAAGTCAGGGCATGTTGCCCAGCCAAGATGACATCTGAACTTGTGCTGAATCTGGAAGAATGAACAAGAGCTTCTTGGAAAAGTAGGACTGTCTTCTAGGAGAGTTATTTACCAAGAACCTAAACGAGCCTGCTCTCTAACCCTCCCACACAACAACACCTAGAAGGATGTTGAGTGCAGCATTATTTGTACAGGCAACAACCTAAGTACCCAGGGGTAAGGCAGTGGATAAATAAAATATGGATTATATGCCGGATGGTAGTGAAACTGACAGTTAACAGTAAACATGTTTAGGTGTTAGATAATAGAGGCTTTAACTAAGTGTTTCAATTGCTTTGGTTGTCATGTAGCTAATAGTCAAAGATTAAGAAAATGTTAGTTATTCCTAGAGACCTGCCTGGAAAGCAAGTTTCAGGAAAAAATGTTTAAAAGCACAATTTGCTTGAGATCATGGATTAATGTAGCTAGTTAAGCACAAAACAACTTAAACAATGACAAAGGTCATGAGATGTTTAGCCTTTTGCTTTAAAGATAACATTACTGATGCACAATTATGAAATATTTTGCAGAATCTTGATTCTGCAACCTGGTTAGATCACCTGACTACAGTGACAAAGACACCAGACAAGAGGACGTAGAAACTAAATTAATCAGACGAAGGGAAACTGCTGAAGCTTGCACAAGAGCTAGCCAATCAGCTTCACCCATGACCCCTAAACCCCAGTGCTCAATCTTTGCCTTTAAAAACCTTTGGGTTTTTAAAGCCATCAAGGAGTTTGGATTTTGAGCGCTAGTTTGCTGTTCTCCTGGCTTGATGCCAATAAGTTGCTTTTATTTTTTTCTACTGCAAAAATCGGTATTTAGTGTTTGGCTCTGCTGTGTGTTTGGTGGGCAGACCCTCTTCCATTTGGCAATACAGTGGGGCCTTGACTTACGAGTGTCCTGACTAACGAGTTTTTTGAGATACCAGCTGTCTCTCGGCCGATTTTTTGCATTGAGTTGACAGAGTAATTTGAGTTAATGAGCTCCTTAATGAGCTCGGTCTCGGAACGAATTAAACTCGTAAGTCAAGGCCCCACTGTAGTAGCTACCCCTGGTACATCTGACTATATGCCAGATCCCGTTCCATGTGTTTTCTGTGTGTTAACACAGCTAATCCTTAAATTAAACCTAGGAGACAGGTACTACTCTTATCTTATAGGTATTGTTGTTATTGTCAGCACCCCCACCCATTTTACAAATGAGGAAACTGAGGCACAGCTTACCTGGTCTCGTAGCTGGTGAGCGGTAATTGTGTGCTCTTGGTGCAAACGCTGGGAGAAGAGAAAAGCAGGCAGTGTTGAGGAACTACAAATGGCTCAGAACTTGAATGTGTGGTTTTAGCAGGTGGATGAGAGGGGAGTAGAGAAGATTCTGGAATGACAGATAGGAATGGTGGTCTGGACTAGATAAGAGAAGGTCTAAATGCCAGGTTGAGGAGTATGCACTTGACCTTAAAGGATGACATAGGGACTTGACTGAGGATGGGGCAGATGAGCGGAGGTAATGGGCTTGATCAATTTGATCATCTTCTGGACCTGAGGTTCAAATGGGAGTTTAAGGAGGGGGTCAGAGGACTTCTCCCCTCTGGGTGGAGGTCCTCTCTTCTAACATCCATTTCTTGTTCAGGAATGACCCACTTCCATTGAGATACACATTCCTTATTATGGCTTGTTTAAAATTCCTCTGGATCCCTGACTCTCTCTAGAGACTGTTCCATTTCTCTATTCCTCATCCCCATCCATAATAGAACTTCCTCAAAGCGTGGATTTCTACTCACAGTCTCCACTTCCTCAACTCCCAATCTCTCAACTACTTCCAGCCTGGCTCCCACTACAGAGGGCCCACCACACCCCGGAAATCACCCTCTTCAAAGTCACTTACCATCTTCCTGTAGCTCACTGGTTCTCAACCTTGGCTGCACATTAGAATCACCTGGGAATCTTTTTAAAATCCTGATTTCTGGGCCTCATCCTCGGGAAATTCTGTTTCTTTGTTACTAATGTTGTGGCCCCACCCCATAACAAAGAAACAGAATTTCCGGAGGATGAGGCTCAGAAATCAGGATTTTGAAAAGATTCCCAGGTGATTCTAATGTGCAGCCAAGGTTGAGAACCACTGCTGTCGCCAGATGCAACAGGGAGCCCATCCTAAACCATCTTTCAGGTTCTTTGACACAGTCAATCAAGCCCTTCTTCCTGAAAATTTTCTTCACTTGGTCTCTCGGCCTTCTTCCTTCTGTTTCTCCTCTCACCTTATTGGTTGGATTTTCCTCTTCCCAATCTCTAAATCAGTGGTTCTCAATCTTCCTAATGCCACGACCCTTTAATACAGTTCCTCATGTTGTGGTGACCCCCAACCATAAAGTATTTTCGTTGCTACTTCATAACTGTAATTTTGCTACTGTTATGAATCGTAATGTAAATATCTAATATGCAGGATGTATTTTCATGGTTACAAATTGAACATAAAGCATAGCAATTAATCACAAAAACAATATGTAATTATATGTGTTTTCCGATGGTCTTAGGCGACCCCTGTGAAAGGGTCGTTTGACCCCCAAAGGGGTCGCGACCCACAGGTTGAGAACCGCTGCTCTAAATGATAGTGTGCCCTTGTGCTCAACCCTTGGGCTCCTTCTCACTGCGCACTCATCCCCTGGGATCTTGACTAGCCCCCCAAGTAGCATCTCCAACATTCTTTCCCCAGCCTTAGCCTCTCCCCCAAGCTCCAGACTTGTATGTTCAACTGCTGACTCTGTGTGATCCTTACATGACAAACAGGTGCTCAACCTAATAGGCCCAACTGAACTCTTGGGCTCCATCTTCCACACATGCTTCCCCACCTGAGTAAAAGACATCCTTTGCCCTCAATCATACCTAAAACCTGGTCAGTCCTAAGACCTAGGAATCTCTTGAACTCCTTGTTCTGGTACAAAGAATCTCAACTTTGGCACTGCCTCGGGCCAGACAGTTCCGTGTGCGGGGTTGTAAAACCTTTGGTGTCCTCCTCCAGTAGGCAGCAGGACCCATGGACAGATGCCAGACCCATTCAGAGTCAGTCCTCCTCCCCACACCGGGGCCTCAACGTGGAGTGGGCTGCTATGCAGAGGACTCGTGGTAAACCTGTGGCTCACGACCAGACAGCCTTAGTACGAGCCTAGATGGTGACAGGTGCTTCTACCCCCAAATGCCAGCACCACCCTCTCTTCCGTTGTGACAACCAAAAATGTCTGAAGTAGGCAGCACAGCGGGCACTAGGACCCCGCGCGGCGCCGCGTCCGGCGGGGGTTGGGGGGATCCGCTCTTTCTGCCTCCTGGAGCCAGGCTGCGGCCACTTGTGCGATCCGGGCCGCATCGCGGCCGCCCGGCCCCTGTCAGCACCATGAGCCGCAGGTTCACCGTCACCTCGCTGCCTCCCGGGGGGCACGCGGGGACCCCTGACCGAGAGCCCCACAGGCATCCGGCCGCCGATAGCCGCCACCTCTCAGGGGAAGACGCCAAAGGTAGAGGCCGCAGGGGCGGGGCCTGAAGAAGGGGGCGTGGCGAGATAAGGGGCGGGGCCGCGGTGGGCGGGTCTTCTGTTGTCAGGGGCAGGGGTTCACAGCGAAAGCCCGAGGGGGAGAGGAGCTGAGACCTAGGGATGGAGGGAAGTGAGAGGGGAAATGGTGAAGGGAGGGGCCAGATCGAGGTGGGCGTGGCCACGGGAAGAGAGGGGAGCCTGAGGCAAAGGGGCGAACCTTGTGATGAAGGGGTTGCGTCTAGGGGACTGGGCTGCTGGGCACTCAAGGGGCGAGGTCTTTCCGGATAGGAGGCGGGACCAGACGGGGGAAGGTGAAACCAGGGAAGGCGGAGGGCGGTGTGATTAAGGGTTGGGTACCGAGCCAATGGGAGGAGGTAGGACTAGCTGGGTTTGGGGCTAGATAAGGGCGGAGCCAGAGGGAAAGGGGTTGGGCCAGGACGTAGGAGAGAGGTCAGTTGGGGGTGGGGGTGGGGGTAGCGTTGGGGATGGGAGGGAAAATGAATCATGGGTCCCTGAGGCAGGTGCTGGGTCCCTCGGTCATTGTTGCCTGGCAGATCCTCCCGTCTTCGGAGGCATCGTGGACAGCACTGGGTAGCCCAGGAAGGGGATGGGAGAAAGAGAAGTTAGTTTGGACCCCGGACAGCCAGATCCTGGGAGGATGCTGTGAGGACTCCAGGGCCAGAAGGGTTGGGTGGAGCCAGTGCAGGAGGGATTGGGGGCGTCTTCTTCGAGGGCCCAGGGCAGTAGTCTTGTAATGGAAGTCACAGGCCGGGTATAGAAGAGAGAGGAGGGGCAGGATCCTGCTAGCCTTCGGTGAAGAATCCTGGATGCACACACTCCGCAGGGGGTCCTTGTCGGGGTTCCTTCCCTGGCTCTGTGCCATTCGGGTCTGGAAGGAACGTGGCAAATCAGCCTGGAGGGGCTCCGCG